TTGACAACCTGAATGCTTATTTATTTAAAGACAGACTATTGATCATGAAAAACGGAAATCTGCTTTCTATATCAATGATCTAAAATAAATTTCATCCTGATCTCGTTAACCAGTTTGTGGTGCATGTCTGTCTATAGATTAGAACATTTGTAACCAACAAGACAGTAAAGCCAGAAAGTTTCAGTGATATAGCTTTATTCTCTTGTACATTATATATATATTTATATATATATCATACTAAAATAAACACAAGTTAAAAAATGAACAAAGAAACTGTACAAAAAATGTATATATACTACATCTTAATTACAGAACAGTCTACTGTCCAAACAAGGCACTAAATTCTGAAATGGGCAATACAGTAATTTTGAACATAATTAAATCTGAGATTGAAACAACAGCATTCAGTCCTCTTTTTCTGAGTTATATTAGGATGAAGTGGATGGTGTTTCACTGGGGACACAGAAGGACATGTAGACATGTTGACCCTGACACACCACGAGTGGACACCCCTTCAGAGTAAGCACTACAACTGGAGTACACACAACATCAGGTTAGGAAAGCCTGTTTTTCAGATTCACCTGTGTCCAGTTTTCCCTTTCAATCGTGAGCACCTGAGGGTTCTTTCATCTATCCCATCGACATCTCGGCCGTTCTTGAACACTGATAAAGTACTGTTGGACTGAAACTCGCCCGTGCTAATTGGGCCACGGCATCTCTCACACACAAAGGTAATTCAATTAAGTCTCTTATACTGAGAGAATAATCTCTAAATGTACTCTCTTCCTTTCGTGCACAACTTAATTCACTATTTCTAAGTGTTTTGTTTGGGGAGAGACTGTCACACCAAGCTCCACAGAAACATTTCATCAAGTAGAGCATAAGTTTGACAGTTAATTTCATATAGAATTTAAACAACATACACTCTCTGCTTGGCAAGTGAGTGTGCATCTAGTCTAAAAATTAGTACATTTGTCTTTGGAGCCCCATGAGCTCACCTCATCACTAAAATGTCATTTTTGGTCATAGTTTTGGTTATCAGTGGCCAAATATACACAGTGAGTTAGGCCCTAGGTTACATTTCTGCCATTTTCTTAAGTACTTCTTCTTTTACAGTCCCAATAGGGAACACACTTCACCAAACTGTGAAATCACAACACTATTTTGATAAGCTATAGCTAACATGCTCAGTTTTACTGACTCCACTAACCCCAACAGTAGGGCAGTGGAGCAAGACAAAACTCTGCAGTGTCTAGAAATAAATAATGCAAACGTAGTTATTACGAATTTAATGCTTTCTCTAAGACAAATTTGATCAGTTACAAATTTGTGTTTGCAAGAGGCACGTCAAAAATGCTGGACTTCACTGTGGAGTTTGGTATGGCATTATTTTAAGGAGAAACCAGCACATAATGGTGGTTTGATTTAATATGATGTGGTGTATGAAGCATTTGTACTGACATGTCTTTTTCACACCAGCCCCATGGTAATATACTGCACATTTGTCTTTTTTTTTTAGCTTATTCAGCAGCAACACTTAACTGTCATAAGGTGCACCATCATTGGTCTTTCACAAAATAGAGAATGTGAAGGTAAGTCCAACCGTGTTGACTGTTGGGACAAGAGTACCATTTTGAGAGATACATGCTGTATTTACTTGCGTGCGTGTGTGCGTATATAACCTTAGCTGACTGTAGCTAACTTGCAGCAGACCTAGAGATCCCGTTGATGAGAGCAACAGATTGAAAAATGACTCTGCACCCTGATCTCAGTTTGGTTAGGGAGCTAACGCTAGCTAGCAGCTGTTGGCAGGTGAAACAAACACTGCAGATGAATCGACTTCTGTCTGTGTTCAAACTGAACACTACTGTGTATGCTTGGATGTAGTTGAAGCATCTGCTACTGTATGTAGCTGTATGGGGGTAAAAAAAATGTTTTATTAACTTATAGATGTATGTATGTAGAATACATGTGTATGAATGAGAGGAAGGGAAATAGAACAGTGAGGTTACAGTGGGCTGAGGTCAAGAAGGTGCAGGAATTAAGCTTTTGGGGTCAACAGTCCAGTGTGATGGGGAGTGTAGGAAAGAGGTGAAGAGGCGAGTGCAGGCAGGTTGGAGTGGGTGGAGAAAGGTGTCAGGAGTGTTGTATGACAGAAGAGTGGCAGCAAGAATCAAAGGAAAGGTGTACAAGACAGTAGTGAGACCAGCTATGCTGTATGGGTTAGAGATTGTAGCAGTGAGGAAAAGACAAGAGGCAGAGATGGAGGTAGCAGAGATGAGGATTTTGAGGTTCTCTTTAGGAGTGACCAGGATGGACAGGATTAGGAATGAGCACATCAGAGGGACAGCTCAGGTCGGCTGTTTTGGGGACAAGGTCAGAGAGGCCAGATTGAGATGGTTTGGACATGTGCAGAGGAGGGATAGTGGTTATATTGGTAGAAGGATGTTGGAGATGGAGCTGCCAGGCAAGAGGTCAAGAGGAAGGCCAAAGAGGAGATATATGGATGTGCTAAAAGAGGACACGAAGTTAATTGGTGTGAGAGTAGAGGATGCTGAGGATAGAGTTAGGTGGAAACAGATGATTCGCTGTGGCGACCCCTGACGGGAACGATGATGAAAATGTATGTAGTGTATATCTCTGGATGATGAGCATGGTCTTCCAAAATGGCACATTTACCCAAAATTCTACACAGTGAGAGGACGTCACAGTCTCTATAGCTTTCTACCTCAGACACAAACAGGGGGAGACTGCTGTTCAAATAAAGGATGACACAAAAAGCTGAATTTAAAAAACTGTTTACATGATAATAGAAAAGTAATACAAAATAAGCCAGAAGAAATGAAAAAGCATGATTAATCTAACAGTAATAGCATGTTTCAATTCAAAACATGGCATTTTTTTGTACATTACCATAAAAAATGAGTATAAATACATATTCTTTTTTATCTTTCAACCTTTTCCTTTTGAAATGAGTTCTAGTACTGAGTCACTGTATCACAGCTTCATACATACTGAAGCAGTAGAATTAAAAAGACCAGAGCCCAGGGCTGGGAGCTATTCTACTAGCAGGATCCAGATACCCGATTAGTTGATACATAACTATGTCTTTCTCAGAGGTCCTGCTTGACTGCATTTAATTTAATCCTGCTTTGTAGAATATTTTCCAAAGTCTCCAAAACCATCATTAAGGCAGGGGTTCCTTTAAAGGAAAAGACTGACATCTGGGGAAATACACAGATTAGCTTTTTACCCCCACACCTACACGAGAACATCAATACCACTCATGTTTGTAGGCTAAATAAGAAGCCAGGGGCCATTTCAAGAAGCCGGTTTAACAAACTCAGAGTTCAAACCTGAACTCTGAGTTGACTTACCCAGAGTTGGAAAACTCGGAGTTTTCGGTTTCAGAACAGCTGAAAAGAGTTGGTTTAATCAACTCTGAGTTGTTTGACTCAGAGTTAGGCGCGTGCCACGCGACTATAAAAAGCCCTGAACAATGGAGTGAAGAAATTACGAGTCACCATGGCAACAGGACCAAGCCAAAATAGGTCTGCGTTTTTCCCCGACAGAAATGGATGTGCTACTACAAGCATATAGTGACTACGAGCCCATATTCCGTAAAAAAAACAAAAAAACAACACGGCTGCAGCGGCGAAAGAGAAAAAGTTAGCTTGGGGGAAAATAGCTGCCCGAGTCAATGCGTACGTTTACATTTTAATCATACAGTATTCGGTGTAAGTAATTACTAAATAATGTTAGTAATGTTATTATTTGTCACTTGTAAAGTAAGGAATGGTTCTTAATTCGTCAATAATTTAATGAGTAACGTCAGTAATTGCATAAAATGCCGATTGTTGTACGAATTAAAAGTGCAGTTTTATGTCTACCCTTGCTTAAAATTCCTATTGTGGTTGATATGGGATTTGTAAAGTAATGATTAATAAATAATCCAGTACGTTTTATGGAGAGTAATTATTACATTAATCAAAATACCTTTTTTAAAATGTACCCAAGACTGATGTAGTAATATAAGAATTGTATTTTATTTTTCATGTAGGTGCAATCCTGCAGGCATAAAAAGAACGTGGCAGCAGCTAAAAATGAAATATAAAAACATAATTCAAACAGGTAAGGCTTGATCATATCATGGGTGTAGACTACCTGACTTTACAAACATTTGACATATTAAATAACTAAATAGCCTGCAGAGTATAGCAGTGCAGCAGCATTTTCAACATGGGTGTAATGTTGTTTTCATACAATTAAATCATTTGACAACTACTCAGCCAACAGAAAGAAGGCAGAGGCCAGAAAAACTGGTGGAGGACCTGCACCACCACCACTAACACATGCAGAGTACAGAGGAGATGGCCCTCAGCCTGAGCACTGGAAAGCCAGTGGCTGAGGGAATTCCTGGAGGGAGTTCATCAGAACCAGTCACTCCCCAGGAGACAAGTGCATTCATTACATGTAAGAGGCCTACCTATATATTCTATTTTTTACATAGGCTACTTTTGATATATCCATTTATTACACTCTGGGTTGGGTTTTTTGTTGGTCTTAACAGATTCTGATGGTAATATCTGCCTTTTGGAGCCTCCTGTCACAGCAGAACCCCAGGCTGTTGTAAGTATCCTACTAAATAAAGCTTAAATTATGATAGGTAGTATTATCTGCGTGACGGAAACGTGTGCAATCTATGAATGTACTGAAAGATTAAATGAGGTATTAAACACCTTTCACTTTAAAAAGGGGCAGAGACCCGGAGGAAACTGAGTTTCCCGAACAAAACCTGCTCCCCAGCAGATTAGGTTCACAGAGTAAGTTGCCATAGTAACTGACTCTGAGTTTAGATTACCTCTCTTTGTGAAACGGGTTTAACTTACCCCGCTTCACGGGTTTAAGTTACCTCCGTTTCTGAAACCCGAGTTTCCCTCATTTCGGGGTTAACAAACTCTGAGTTTCGACAAAACCGCCTTCTTGAAATAGGCCCCAGGAGACTATTAGCTTAGCATAAAATCGGAAGCACATTTGAACAAATGTAAAAAATAAATAAATTTAAAAAAATTCTACCTACCACCACTTCTACATCTTACTCTCTTTATACCTTGCAAGTTTATTTCGTACAAACAAAATATGAACTGTAAAAGTAAAACAGTAAAACAAAAACGGGTAGGTTTGGAGAGGGCAGTATGCCATTACTGAAATGTGAAGCTGGAGCATGGAGAGTTAGCTTAGTTTGTTAATTGCTGCAAGCCAGCTGCCTCCATCCTAAGGCAAAAACATGTGCTTGCTAACACCCCAAAGGTTCAGTAAATCACACAGTCTAGTATAAAACAGGCACAGGAGGTCTGTGTGCCTAAAAATGTTTTCAGCATGTAACCACCTGTCATTTTTAAAACCTCATTTTTGTGCATCTTTAATAAAACAAAGTAGAATTTAATGAGTAGAGGCTAGTAGACAATTTATTTTGCTAGTCATACCCCCTGATAAGCTAAGCTAGTGGTCTCCTGGCTCTGACTTCACATTTAGTGTAGAGACACGAGTGGTTCTTATTTATTCTCATCTTACTCTACTCTCATCAAAAAAGTGAATATGCATATTTCCCAAGAAGTTCTATTATTCTGTCTTCCTCATCCTAAGGCCAAAGCTGACATCAGTCTTAGTCTTAGACTGACAAAGCGCTAATACTTGACAAATAGTGAGCCCCCAAAAACAGGACGCAGATACACAGCACTTGTCTCTGTTTAAGACACTACTACGATCTTCTGTCAAAGATGGTTTTGGAAAAGTTTCACCCAAGGCAAAAACTAACAAACAAAAAAAAAAAGGTGGAAAATGATTTTCCAATATGAACACTGAAAGTGACTTTGATTCTGATTCCCTTCAAAGTGCTTTGACGCTATACAGATAAGCACAAAAGGCTTCAGAAGTTTTTCTGATACTTTAAACCATTTCCAGTGTGGATTTAATCTAATTTGATATCACTGATATTTAAAAAAAAGTTTCTGAAAGCACTATTGTAAAGAGGCAGCATCCCAGAACAAGTAGTAAATAGCTTTATTTTCCCATTATACTGTATGTCTGGTTGCTAATAACTATCTTTGCAGGATTAGCTTTAGAACCGAAGACTTGGAGTAGATTCTGGTGGAAGTGAAATCTGTTATCCATTGATATGTGCTTCCCCTTACTTTAATGTGAACCTAACCTTCATCATAATACCTAACCAGTCAAATCTTATGATACTTAACCTGACCCCAGTGGCATCTCTCCACTGCCCAGTCTTGGTATCTAACATTTACCATCTTTACTGACACAGGCCTGCTGTAGCGTCAAGCCCATTGGCCTGGGAGGCTTCACTGAAAGCTCCTACATACACCAAAGGAGTTAGGAGAAATCACTTTGGACGAGTGTGGACAGTCTTAGCTTTTAGCCTCTTCACATTTTTTCTACAAGCATCTTTTGCTTTGGCATGGACGACATTGTTTTTTTTTTTTAAAGAAAGCACAATTCCTCTTATTGGATAGCTTGTTTGCTCGATTATCACATTGACACTAAATTGATTCTCAGAGCTCAAGTACTCTGGAGGAGCACTTGACAATAGTGACATCGGGAAGCTAAGTACTGAGGTAAAATGATTGTATAGCAAGTCGCCTCTTGAGTTAAAAACAGAGAAATGCAAGTGAAATAACTAAAACCACTGCTATTGTTGGATATAAACTTTAACATTGATTCTGGTATTTTATTTTTGTGTACTAAAAAGTTCCTTGTCAGAGAAAAAAATAAGTCTGCTGCATACTGCAAAAAGGAAAGGTGTGACTGTTTGTATAAAATTAAGGCTACTCCTTTTTTAGCTGAGCATTTAGAGATTTTCATCCAACAGCGGCTCTACTGTAGGAAAACAAAAAGCCATTCCACTGAGGAACGAGAACTACAAAGGGTGAAGACAGTGACTGGACAGTTCTGTCTGCCGATAATATCCTTCCTGACTGGCTGCGTGTCACAGAGAAAGAGAAGGAAACTCTCTCCATCCATCTTTCCCAAGATGGTGGCCAGAGGATGCTCTTCTGATGAATTGCACAATGAAGAACGTGAATTTAGGGAGTGTAGGTAGGTAGGTAGGTAGATAGCACACCATGAGGTGAGTGTGAGAATCATAAGAACCATATATAATATATATATATACAGTACACGTTATTTTTCTGAGGTTGACGTTGAGGTGAGATAGACTGAGGATCGGCTCAGACAACTAGGCTGGAAAGGGAAGGAACGGGAATAAGGAAGAGGATTGGAAAGAGAAGAGGTATCTTGTGAGGAGAAAGTGTACTGAGGGAAGATAGCGGAGATCCTGGGAGAGACAATCCCAGACAAGAGTCACCCATTTTAGGGGGTTAAAGGCTTGGAGTGCACCCTTTTCTTCTTTCCAGGGAACATTTTCACAGAGATCAGAGGACGTATAATGACCCATTTCTGCCAGCTGTGTCCATATATTGAGTGTGGGGTGGGGGGTAATTACTGTTTACATGGACTCTGTGGGAGGAGGAGAGCTGAGAGAGAAGGAACAGCTGGCAGGGGGACTGGCTGATGGACAGATTCTGAAAGTTTACTAAGTAGCATTATTTTGGTCTCTCTTTTTAAGTCCCGTTTCCCACCTATTCTGCGCCTCCTTTGCTTTCCTCTCACGACTCTGTCCTTTCTCTCGTCTGCTTCCTCCATCCCAATTCCTGTGCGGTTCATTCATCCTCCAGGGACTCCGTCTTGATGTCGCTGGGGACCCCTCCAGTTCGGGACAGGGCCAGGATGGTGTGGTTGACAGCAGCCATCTCCACAGCCAGAGAGATGGGGTCCTGGTGTTCACTGTGTGCTGCACTGTCATCCTGAGACCGAACACAACAGTGGTTCAGATCAGGAAAAAAAACAAAAAACAAACACATATAGGAGCTATGCCTCTATTGGATTTTTTAAATTTGTTTTGTCATCATGCTAACCATCTGAAAGTTTGGTTGGCCAATATAGCTTAGCAACCACAGCTGGCTTTGTCAACATGTTGACACACTGTACACAGGGCTGTGGTAAGAAAGACACCATCTTTTACCTTTTGCAAAACAAGAATAACAGTGCAGGAAATAGATGGAACGCCTCTTAAACACATTGTGATCGTGAACCTGTCTGGCTAGGTACTAAACATAGGAGGAAACGAAAGCATTTCTTACTACATTAGTTTGTGCAGCTATAGGTTTTGCAAATAGAAAAAAAAAATCCCTGTGTAGTATTTCCCACTATGGGGAACTGGCCCCGGATGTTGTTTAGAGTTTAGATAAGTGTTGACGGCTCTTATTTGCCAAACTTAATAACTATAATCCCATAATCTGATATACTGTATATTAATGTGAAATGTGCCATTCTGAATGAGTACTTTTACTCTGGTACTTAATTTGATGCTGATACACTGTGATACTGCTACTCTTACTTAGGTAAAACGCAGTACTTCTTCCACCACTGATACTATTACCACATCTTTCTAACCATAGGCTAACTTACACATGATGCACATATACAATATGTGCACATGATTGATATTCTGAGGCCAAAAAGTAACTTAGATATGTCACACAGATGTACTAGAGTGACCCTGAAACGAAGGATAGGCAGTAAAATGTTCTCAATTATAAATATAAAGATGAATTTTCCTATTAAATTCCATTAAGAATACATACAGGTCATTTTTTTAGCTATACTGTACATTAAGTGTTGGTTATTCACAAATAAAATTAAATGCAATAAAAATAATGGTTTGTAATGTTAAAAAAAAACAACTATCTGGTTGAGGAATTCATTAAGTACTGATTGACCACATGCAGATATTAAACAAAATCATTCACTTCGGTCACTTTTAACCCATGAAGTGCATCAGGGGGTTTGCTTCATTGTTTTAGCATTACATTATGCTTGCGGCCATACAATGCATATTTAAGATCCTTTTAAAGGCTCTTTTTTTTTAAATGAGGCAGCTGGAAATGTTAGTTATCTAAAGACATCATCTTCAACCAGCTCTTACAGATTAACTAGCTAGCTGATCAAATTTGCACTTGACAGCAGAAATCGACAGCTGCCTACACAAAACTGCTTTTGTCTGAAATCAGACCCTTTATTTAAAAAAAAATTATGAACAATTTCTAATGCCACCTTTATCATTGTAAACTACACATGTGCCGTGTGACAATAAAAAGCTTGGATGGAATGGAAAATAGCCAAAATAGTAAGGGGGCACAGCTTAGCAAATGTCCAGTTGTGATGATAACTTGGTGGCTTCACAGTAGAACTGAAGCTTGTGAATCATCAGCCCAACAGAGCAAAGGGACCTGGTCCTCTAGTCCAGGTTTCAAATGATTCATCAGGGCCAGATCTATTTACTGTCAGGTCAGATATGTTATTCTAACCAGCACACATTTGTCTCTAATTAGAAGGACAAAGTCCCATGATCCTGCAAATTACCCCACTGTATCTGCTGCAGTGTGCTGCAAAGTGGAGGAGAAATTCTACCAAGCATCAAATCAGCCTTTCAGGGATGCGACATCTGATTACTGTATACTGAAAGCTATTTTAAGACATGCAATCAGAGAATTATTGTGGTGAAGGGCCCATTTTAACCCCTGTCTGATTTGGCTGTGAGTCTCTTTTGGCTTCATTTTGGACTTGAGGGCAGTGCTCCCTGCAACCACAGACAATGACATACAACAACATGATACCTGTGTGGGTGAGGTGGGCTCCAGTCGGTAAAGGCCAAATGGTCGGCTGAGAGGTCTCTTGTCAAAATAGGGCAGGTCACAGGCCTGGAGGTATTTTGACACACGTGGTTAGTTAAGTAGCATTTGCAAACTCAAGCAATACTTTAAAATACAATATACACAATTACTTCCTTCACTAGTTGACAGTGCTACTTGACGGATGAAATACACCCTGTGTTCATCACTTATTAGCTGCACTAGTTTACAGTAACTGGCTTTTTAGTCTTCCCTCCCAGCAGCTTTCACTTGACAGGAGAGTCCATGTTTGCATGTTGTGAAATCAAGAACAAAGCTAGAGGGTTTAAATTGAAACACAATTTTCACTTGCAGTTTCCACTGCTTACAGGAGGAAAAGAGAAAGGAGCAAGCTTTTATTAATTAACGTGCCTTGAGCAACAATTCTTCACAAAAAGAAGAACTTTGTTCTTGATTTCATTTATTAGCACAACTTGAACCAAAGACACAGAACCTAATCACTAAATCCAACTGATGTATTGTTGGTTGGAATGAAAGACATGTAAAATGCATGATCACATTTGACTAATGACTGGAATACTGAGTTTGTGCAAAAACATCTCAGAGGGATGGATGTGAATGGTTGGCAAGAGACTGATCCATAAAAACAGGGAAATATAAATGCAGCTGTAATACAAAGAGAAATGACTTCTTGGTTTTACCTCAGGCCAGTCGGTCACAGAACTGTGTGGAACATAAATCTGGTTTAATGTGGCTTGCTGGATCTTTAATCACTCTCTACCTGCTCTGAGAAGTCATTCCCATCGATGTCATCGCTGTTGGAGTGTCCCCCTGGACTCTGGACGTCTATCCCATGACTCTCCAGGATTGTGGCTTCTTGGAGGAAGAGAATGAATTATTAGATTTACAGTGGTTGACTACATATTGTAGAGAAGTGACTCCCAACTGGGGGATACAAGGAGAGAATGTGGAGTAGCTGACTAATCTGAAAACACAGAAATTACGAGTCGATTTAAAATTAGCTATCCAGGGTTAGTTGTCAACACCTGAGAGTGCATAAGAACTTCGACATTATTCAAACATAGCAGAAGGTGCAGATCAAGAGGTACTAGAGTTCATATGTGACAGCACTGTAACATCAAGACAAACCAGGTTGGGAACCACTGGTGTAGAGGGTTACAAAATACCACACATTAGAAGAGACTTAGGCTAAGCATAGTGAAGGTCTCCAGCAGTTAGTCGTCTTCTCTACTCAGCCCCTTTGGCTAGTAAGTAAGCCACAATCTATTTTTCCACATCTAAAACTGCATGCCTACCAGAAAGTTCCTGGTACTTTTTGTGCCTAGGAACTAAAGTCCACACTGAGCACATTGTGATTTAGATTTCCACAACAAGGCTAAAGCCCCAGAAGGATTAAGTTGTAAATCATAAGAATGCTACATGCTATATGATCAATCAGCGACGTTCAGTACCGCAAGCCTCGTTTCAATAGTTCTTAGACCTTCGGGGTGCAGTGGGGGGTTGTTACAACTACACTAATATAGATCTTGGTTCCTCCAGAGAGAACCACTATAAGTTCTGCAAAGGTTCCTGTTGCCAGGCAATAGTTCCTTTAGTGGCAACAGGGCTTAAATGGCTTTGACATTGATGCAAGCAGCAAATAAAATGTCTTTAGGGCTAGACATGCTTTGCGCTTACTCTCGTGCATACGTGGACATGGATGAGGCACAAACATGCGCTCCTATTCATACTTCAAATCGAGGGTTTGGCTTCTCTCAGCATACCCCCATGGTTTCCAAGCACTGCGGTACATGTGCAGTCTGGGCTTTTGCTGTGCGGACTGTTTGCATGGACACAAACTTTTGGCCTGTATGTGCGCGCAGAGTCAGTGCAGACCTGGCAAGATGACGAAAATTATGTCACTCAACCATAGCGAATATGCAGACATGCAAAGCATAAATATCCCTTTCACAGCAGTGTTGGAGATATTTTGTTGGGGGTCATTACAGATGTCAGGTGACCGATTAACAATCATCAGGCTCTTTTATAGTGCTGATAAGAATCAATACTGAGTTGTTCAAAGCACAAAAAAGGTTAGCGTTTTTGTTACTAAATATAAAACAGTGACATTAATGCAAAGGGATGTAATAAATTGTGCACTGTGATCAAAACTCATTTGTGGTCCCCCCCCTTAAAGCCACATTACCAATGTTGGCCCGTCTCTTGATCTCTTTGCGACGGTTGGCGAACCAGTTGTACACTTTCAGGGAGGTGACCCTCTCCAGATCAGACAGCTTCTTCCCTGAAACAAATCACATGAAAGCATCATCACTGACAAACATTCACATTTTAATCTTCCACTGTCACAATTATAAACTCTGGCCCTGATTTGTTATCTACCAGCTCCGCCAAGCTGTAGATTCCAACCTTATTTGTACTTTTAGAAGCACAATTGCTTCAGGGAAATGTGGGTATTTTTGCTAAATTATACAATTGTTGTAAATACTTTTTCTGCTGACCAGCTTTTCTGTTAATCAAGTAATTGTTTCAGCTCTGTAATCCATATGTATCTATACAGTAACATATCAAAAATGTGTGGTGTGTGTTCTATGTCAAGGATGCACAGCTGAGAGATTATGAAGGCAGTGCAGACGGGGACAATTTCCATGGTAATATTCTGAATATTTGCATAATACATAGAAATATCTGTGGCCAGCACATAGAGCTGTAAATGTTTGCATCAGTGCACTTTACAATGCAGTACAGTACACACATTCCTGGTTTCCTGGTGGTTTACCTGGTTTCTGAATAACAGCATTGCAGGCATTTGCTATCTCCTCCCGTTTGGCCTCATCTGGGTACTGGTTGTCATTGAAGTAGCTATAAATAGCAGAGGAGTCACACTGATTAAATTAATTTCATTACACAAAGACGATGTCTATGAGCAGGAGTTACTGCTGTTTGTTTTGTCTGCAGTACAACTAAGATAATAATCAGCGTTTACGACACGAGTCACAGGGTTTGTTTCCTCATTGTCCAGCTGTTTTCTAGAACAGGCAGCAATGTTTCTTCAATTCCATGTGGAAATAAAGTAGACATTATGAAACATACATGTTCTTTAATCTACCGCTTTTCTCCCTCCTTCCCCTTACCTCTCCATCGGGTGGGGGTGGGGGGTGGGGAGCAGCAGAATCACTGGTAGGTTCGAACTGAAGATCTGAACATCTGAACATCTGTCAGGAAGAGTCGAGCTACAATCAGTCTGCAGGTGTGTCTATGGCACAGAACCACGCCTGGAAAAGTCCAAAAGCTGTACATGACAGCACATGGTAGCTGGAAAGCCCATCCCTTATATAACGATATGCGAGCATGCACATCGCCTTTCACAAGTCTCACAATACTTTCTGATTATAAACCTGACTGAATAGTGCTAACAAAGACTGTGCTGCCTCATCTTAAAACCATGCCCACAGCAGAAAAGTAAACCACACAAAAGGCTCAATTTGCATTCAAAGCCATAAAACCGGCAACACAACAGCTAAAAGCTTGGACATATTTTGAGGTCAGCAGCTCACCCACAGTGTCATAACCTTATCTGACATTGTCAGCAAGGCCAAACTGGGTCACTCTCCAACAGTTCAGTGTATCAGAACGGCATGAATGGGGCATCAGTTTACTCTGCAGGGGTAACAGAGGTGTGTGCGCGTGTGCCGTATTGGGCTGGGCTGAGCTGAGTTGGGCCGGGCTCAGTCTGGCCATAAATAGCATAGAGCAGCGTCCAGTGCTGACGGTGTTGGCAGGACTCCACTGAGAAACATGCCGCAGAGGACAAGGCGTGGGATGTCTGCTGCACAGCTATAGGTTGATACAGCACGCGCATGTGTGTATAAGCATGCACGCACAATTGAGATCCAAAGGCAGCAGGAGGCCTGTTATTTTGGCTGTTATCCATTTCCAGTGCGGTGTGGGTTTAAAGTTACATGCACACAGACATCAGAGTACTGTCTTTTGACTATAAGTGTTCTTCTATAGCAGCCGACTATAATAAAACTTAAGGAACCTACAAAACCTATCGAGCAGAGTTAACATTTGTCACAGGTTGTGTGTTTTGTTTACACTACGGTGTGGCTGCTTTGGAGGTGCGTTCTGGGAGCAAAAAAAGGAGGTAGTACTAAAATCAAGTAGCAGGAACATGAGGGGGAAGAGGGTGCATGCACGCAGAGGAGCCGTCAGTGACTAGTTAAATGTCTGCGTCTATCCACTCAAGTGTTTGCATTACAAGCACCACATAGCTGACTGCATGTGGGAGAGCGGAGCAGCCCCTTCCTCCTCTAAACAAAGACCGACAGAGGGAAAATACAGTGGGGAATATGGGGGGGACACAGCATGTGTCAACCCAGGAGGCTATGCTTGGTGATGGGTAAGGGAAGTAGGGGATATACTGCTTGTTAGGTTCCGATAGTGGAAACGCAGCAAAACTGTATGTAAACCTAGACTTCTCTTGAAAGACAGTTTTAAACAAAATCAAAATTTGTCATAAAGTCAAGAGATTGAGATTTGGACTCGAGTTTAAAAATGTGAAACTGACGCTTGACTCTAAAGCAGGGTTCGTACCTGGGGGCCACTGCCAGGTTGGTCTCTATAAATCGGATGCTTGAAATTGCAGCCAAAAAAGAACTCCAATTTAGTTTTTAACAATAATTTCTCACTATATACAATATTTGAATCACTTTTTGTATACCATGTGCTTAGTGTCTGCTGTCAGACACTTGGCAGCACTTCTGCTGAAATAGCTGGCAGTGAAGACCCTCGGTGCAGCTGATTTTAAATGTCATCATATAGTGCATTGATCCACTGTCTGGCTGCATTTGCAGACAGGCTGATGTTTTTGAACAGCTGCATTTTCTGGGCAGAAGATATTAGCAACCTGCACCATACAATCTTTCACAAACTGTCCTTCTGGCAGTGCCCTGTTTCGCTGTTAGTTCATTTGCCACACAACTGGCCTTAACTGTTGCATCACATTCCCATGTTGCTTGGTCATACAAAGTCTGCTGTAGGGACAGGCCTGTCCAAAGCTGAGCAACTTCTCTCTCACCTGCCTTGTACCTAGCAAACTGCTCTACACGTCTTGTAGATTAACACCACTTGAGAATGGCAACTTTCTCCTTGCAGATGATATAGGTAGCAATTACACTAAAATCCACAAAAAAGGAATCAGGTGTCCACTTGTCCTAAAACTGTCTGCTCCAAGTAAATTTTTTTTTTTTTGTTTTAGAAAGAGACATTTTGGTGTTAGGTGAGCAGTGGGGAATCTGTGGAGCGACCACAAGTCAATCGCCCCCTGGTGGCTGGTTGCAGTGTAGGTCATAAATCCTGCCTCCATGTTAGTGGATGGAACATGAGCCAAACTAAAAACTCAAAGTACAAATCAAATAAATTCTCCCCAGTGATGATTCTGTGGTTTCTGGTACAGTGGGTACGGAAAGTATTCAGACCCCCTTAAATTTTTCACTCTTTGTTATATTGCAGCCATATGCTAAAATCATTTAAGTTCATTTTTTTCCTCAATGTACACACAGCACCCCATATTGACAGAAAAACACAGAATTTTTGACATTTTTGCAGATTTATTAAAAAAGAAAAACTGAAATATCACATGGTCATAAGTATTCAGACCCTTTGCTGTGACACTCATATATTTAACTTAGGTGCTGTCCATTTCTTCTGATCATCCCAGAGATGGTTCTACACCTTCATTTGAGTCCAGCTGTGTTTGATTATACTGATTGGACGTGATTAGGAAAAGCCACACACCTGTCTATATAAGACCCTACAGCTCACACTGCATGTCAGAGCAAATGAGAATCATGAGGTCAAAGGAACTGCCTGAAGAGCTCAGAGACAGAATTGTGGCAAGACACAGATCTGGCCAAGGTTACAAAAAAAAATTCTGCTGCACTTAAGGTTCCTAAGAGCACAGGGGCCTCCATAATCCTTAAATGGAAGACGTTTGGGACGACCAGAACCCTTCCTAGAGCTGGCCATCCGGCCAAACTGAGCTATCGGGGGAGAAGAGCCTTGGTGAGAGAGGTACAGAAGAACCCAAAGATGACTGTGGCTGAGCTCCAGAGATGCAGTCGGGAGATGGGAGAAAGTTGTAGAAAGTCAAAGAAAGTCAACCATCACTGCAGCCCTCCACCAGTCGGGGCTTTAGGGCAGAGTG